AAGGCACCTGAGTCAAGAAGGACTTTATCAACACTAGGGAGCTGCTTTTCTTTCCGTACACCAGGGGACAAGCAGAAGCACAGCCTGGAAAAAGCTCTCTAAGGTATTTCTGCTCAGAGAAACCCTGTCTCGAAAAACAAAACCAAAAAAAAAGAAAAAAAAAAGGACTGACTCACAGTATCAACAGTATCAGGGAACTCTGTATGAATATGCCCACACTGCCTGTCCTGGACTGATACCACACTCTCACCCCCCCTCACCCCCCAGTCTTGGAACACCTCAGCTCCTACCTGATACGGATAGCTCTGCCAGCATTGTCGGGTGTCCCAGAACCAAGGCGTCTAAGAGAAAAACAGATAACCCAGGTTGGCCTTTGGTCCCCACATTGTTACAGGATCTACCCTATAGTCCTGTTCTCTAAGTGAGGGGTATAAGAAAGAGGAAAGCGAGGCGTGGTGTCGTACCAGCAATCCCAGCACTTGGGAGGCTTGAGCATCATGTCAAGTTTGAGGCCGTCTGAACCAAAAGCAGATTAATGGCCAGCCAGGGTTATCTAGCAAGAGTCTGTCTCAAAAACCCAAAACCAAAGCAAAGCACCATCACAACAGAACACAAGGCAGAGAAGAGAAAAAAATCTCGATCTGCTTTTGAGAGACAGTCTCTCACCATTTGGCTCAGGTTGGCCTTGAACTCATAGAAATCCTTCTGCCTTGGCCTCTCAAGTACTGGATTCTGAGGTGGAGATTAGCTGGGGCTGCACAGTGAGTTCCGGAACAGCTTGGACCACATAATGAGGCCTGTGTCAACAAACCAATGTCTGGCTTGGCCTGGTGGTACATGCAGAGGCAGGAGGACTGCTCTGAGTTTTGGGCCAGTCTGTGCCACAGAGGCATTGGGGATCCTAAGTCAGCTTTTCATGGTTTCACGGGAAGCAGTTGACCAACTCAGTTCTATCTTTCTAGCCCCCAAATTTAAAAAAGCATTTAATATTTATTGATTTATTTAAATAGTGGGCACACTTGTGGGTTTGTACATGTGAATGAGTGTCCAGAAGCCAGAAAAAGAAGTCAAATCCCCTAGAGCTAGAGTTACAGGTAACTGTGAGTCACCCCATGTGGGTGGCTAGGAACGGAATCCAGATCTTCTACATGAATAGCATGTGTTCTTCACCTCTGTGCCACCTCTCAATCCTAGCCCCTGAATTTTCATATGTGCATTTGTCTAAGTACATGAGTGCAGGTGCCTGGAGAGACCAGAGGTGTTGAGTCCCCTGGCGGTGCAGCTGCAGATGGTTATGAGTTGCCCAACTGCTGGGCACTGGACTCTGGCCCTCTGCAAGAGCAGTATGTGTTCTTTTTCATTTTATTTGATGTGTATGGCCTGCACTTCTGTCTGTTTACCACAGGCATGCAGTGTCCACAGAAGCTCAAAGAGGGTTACAGATGGATGGTTGTAAGCCATTATGTGGGTGCTGGGAATTGAACCTGTGTCCTCTGGAAAAGCAGCCAGTGCTCTTAACCACTGAGTCATCTCTCTCTCTCTCTCTCTCTCTCTCTCTCTCTCTCTCTCTCTCTCTTTTTTTCTTCAGGACAGGGTTTCTCTGTGTAGTTTTGGTGGCTGTACTGGAACTCTCTCTGTAGTCCAGGCTGGCCTTGAACTCACATCGATCTGCCTGGTTCTGCCTCCTGAGTGCTGGGATTAAAGGCGTGCGGCGCCACTCCCCAGCTCAGCAGTCATTCTTAACACTGCCATCTCTCCAGTGGCCTCCACCCTGTTTTGTTATTTGTTTTTTTGTGACAAGATCTTATGATACAGACCAGGCTGGTCCCAGACCCAGCAATCTCCCTGCTTCTGCCTTCTGAGTGCTGTGATTAAAGATACAGGCTACCACGCTTGGCCTAATTTCTTTGAATAATTTTATTTATTATTAATGTGTGTGTGTGCGCGCGCGCGCGCGCGCGCGTGTGTGTGCACACGTGTGCCATGGCACTTATGTAGAGAACAGAGGACATCTTTATGCACTTCGTTCTTCTCTTCCATCTTTATTCCACCCCACCCCCGCACCTCTCCTGGCACTCACTCTGTAGCCCAGGCTGGCCTCGAACTCAGGAGAGCTGAGTGATGGGATTGAAGATGTGTGCCACCAGGCCCAGCAAGTGTTGGTTAACTTTTAAATTGCTTACAGTACTATCTTTATATTCTTTCAGTAGTGTCCAGAAGGTCTACAGTGGCACCCCTGTATATTAGTAATTCATATTTCCCCCCCTTTTTTTCTTTTTGAGATAGGGTCTTATTATGTAGCCCAGAATGGCCTCAAACTCCCAAACCTCATGCATTAGTTGCCTGAACATTGGATCATGGGCAGATGCCACCACACCTGATATGGAGTTATTAATTTTAACTGAACCTTTTGGAAAACTGAAATTTGATTTTATCACTTTTATCCATTATTTGTCTAATGACTATTTCATTAATTTCTGCCCCCTCAACCCAGAGTCCTGGGCCTCATATCCAGGACCTCACTAAATGAGTTATATTTCCAGTTTCTATTGTTGATTGTTTCTTTAATTTACTTTAGATTTACTTTTTCTTTTTCTACATTTATTTTAAATTCTTTAAAATTTATTTGTGTGGATGTACCTGCCACATACGTGTCAGCACCCACAGAGGCTAGAAAGGGGTGTTAGATCCCCTAAGCTGAAGTTACAGGCATTTGAGTCACATGACCCGGGTGCTGGGAACCAAACTCAGGTCCTCTGGAAAAGCAGAAATCACTCTTAACCACCGAGCATCTCTCCAGCGCCCCCCTTCTTTCCTTTCTTTTAAAAGCATTTTCCAGCCCCTTTGTCTTGTTCTTCCTTTTTAAATGTTACATTTATTTCTGCAATTCTTCTTTCAAGATAATTTTTCTGTGTAACAGCACTGGCTATCCTAGAACTCACTCCGTAGACCAGTCTGGCCTCGAACTCACAGAGATCCTCCTGCCTCTGCCTCCTGAGTGCTGGGATTAAAGGTGTGTGCCACCACCTCCTGGCTTCTATATTTTAATTTTCAAAAATTGCAAAAATAAGCCCGGGCAGTGGTGGCGTACGCTTTTAATCCCAGCACTCGGGAGGCAGACGCAGGAGGGTATCTGTGAGTTTGAGGCCAGACTGGTCTACAGAGTGAGGTCCAGGACAGCCAGGGCTACACAGAGAAACCTGTCTCAAAAAAAAAAAAAAAAAAAAAAAAAAAAAAGCCAGGCATGCTAGTGTCTTGCTTGCCTCTAATCCCCAGTATTTGAGAGGCTGAGACAGGAGGATTGCCATGAGTTGAAGGCAAGCCTGGAGTTCATAATGAGAGGTTTTTGTTTTTGTTTTTTTAGTTTTTCAAGACAGGGTTCCCACCACCACTCTCAATGGTTTGTCTTAAAACAGAAACAAAGCCGGGCGGTGGTGGCGCACGCCTTTAATCCCAGCACTCGGGAGGCAGAGGCAGGCGGATCTCTGTGAGTTTGGCCTGGACTACAGAGTGAGTTCCAGGATAGGCGACAAAGCTACACAGAGAAACCCTGTCTTGAAAAACAAAAACAAACAAAAAAAACCCCACAGAAACAAAATTTTGGGGGCTAGGGCACGAGCTCAGCTAAAGCGCTTCCTAGCCAAGGGTGAGAACTGTTAGGATCCCCAGCTACCACCTAAGACCCCAGAACTGTGTAACTCCAGCACCGGGTCAGGCAGGGAAGGGGAAGGGAAAGTCAGTGAGCTGTGGCTTCGTCTCAAACTCAAGGGGAGGCGGTGTGACAGCACAAGCCTAATCCCAGTGCCCTGGAGGAGAAGCAGGTGGGTCACTGCGGTCCAGCTCAGCCTGGTCTAACTTGTAAGTTCCAGGGCCAACCAGGGCTACATTGGAGACGGTATCTCAAAATAAAACAAATACATAAATGGTTATCAATTTCATCTCCTCCTGGAAGAACAAGAGTTTTTAAGGGCTCTGCAAATCACTGAGTACTATTCTGACTTCATTACTAACATCATTAGAGGGGAGAAGTAGGCCTTGAGTTTAGTGAGGTCAAACCCAGGGTAGAAGACAGCAATTAGCATCTATCCTGCATACAATCTGCAAATAAACTGTACATAAGAGGAGGAATGCATCCTGATGGAAACACTTGAGGAACAATAACGGCCTAAACCGGGAGTGGTGTCCCACACACCTGTCACCCCAGCAGTGCAGAGACTGGGGCAGAAGGCCAAGGCCAAGGCCAGCCTGACCTCAGAACGAAACAGAAGCAGCTGGAGGTATTCAAGGTTTACTTCTAGAAACCAAGGCATCTAGACATGTTTAGAATCCAACGAGAGGGCACAAAGAGTTTAGACTCACCAACCAGAGAAATCTAATTCCGTAGCAGAACACACATAAATAAAAAGTGAATCTCCACCTGGGTGAGCAAAGAGTAGAAGTTAGATAAATGAGCACGGGGAACCCACTTTTGGGCTGGAGAATTCGGGGTGGCACTGGGACAGAACTGATCTCCAAAAGCTGGAGTCACTGCTGGACTCTCCTTTCCTATTAGACTCCTTCATAGACCCAATTTTTAAATTGCATGACAGTGACTGATATCCATTTCCAGAAAATTAAAAACTGTGCTTTCACAGAGCATGGTGGCGCACACTTAGATCTCAGCACTTGGGAGGCAGAGGCAGGCACATCATCTTTAAGATCAACCTCGTCTACAAAGCAAGTTCCAGGACAACCAGAGACACCCTGCATTGCTGTGGAATGGTCTGTATGTCAAATTGCTCTGATTGGTCAATAAATAAAACACTGATTGGCCAGTGGCCAGGCAGAAAGTATAGGCGGGACTAACAGAAAAGAAAAAAGAAAAAAAAGGAAGAAAGAAGGAGTCACTGCCAGCCGCCGCCATGACAAGCAGCATGTGAAGATGCCGGTAAGCCACGAGCCACGTGGCAAGGTATAGATTTGTGGAAATGGATTCATTTAAGCTATAAGAACAGTTAGCAAGAAGCCTGCCACGGCCATACAGTTTGTAAGCAATGTAAGTCTCTGTGTTTACTTGGTTGGGTCTGAGCGGCTGTGGGACTGGTGGGTGAAAAAGATTTGTCCTGACTGTGGACAAGGCAGGAAAACTCTAGCTACACTGCATTGAAAAACCAAAAGAACTCGGTGATTTCAAGTACAATATTTCTCAGAAAAGGGAAACTTCCCACAAAAAAGTAAATATAGAACAAGTTGGTACTATTTTTACCAAGGTAAGCAGGGGTATACACACTTACCTATATAAGTGCAGTTACTGGAATTCACTTCCAACCTATTTTTTAAAAGGCTTATTGTATATTTATTTATTTATTTTGGTTTTTCAAGAAATAGGATTTCTCTTTGTAGCTCTGGCTGTCCTGGAACTCAAACTCCCTCTACAGACCAGACTGGCCTCCTTTGAACAACAGATCCACCTTCCTCTGCCTCCTGAGTACCGAGATAAAAGGTGTGCACCCAGCTTGTATCAATTTTTAAATTGTGTGTGTGTACGTGTGTGTGTGTGTACTCACAAGCGCATGAGAGGGTATGTGGATCTCAGGTGTCCAAGGAGGCCAGAGGCTTCAGATCTCCTGGATCTGGAGTTACAGAGGGTTATGAGCTCCCTGATGGGCGTGCTGGGAAACGGGCTCTCTGGAAGGGTATCAAGTGCTCTTAACTACTGAGCCATCTCTCCAGCCCACTTTTTTTTTTTTTTTTAAGATAAGTAGACAAGGTCTCACTTTGTAACCATGGCTGGCTTGGAACTTGGATGTCTAGACCAGCCTGGCCTTGAACTGGAGACCCACCTGCCTGTCTTCCGAATGCTGGGGTTAAAAGTGTGTGTGTGTCACCATGCTTAGCTCAATCTATCTGAAAAGGAGGAGCAAAGTGGAGTCACTTGCCTTAGTGGAAGTGTGACCAGGGGACAAATGTGACTGGTTTTCCAGCTCTCTTCTTCCTACTTCTGTGAGGGCTCTGCCATTTACTCACCCAAGAGAGCTGGTCGGGAGCACCAGGACAGAACTCTAGTTCCATTTCCCCTCGGCTTCTGAAACCTTATCTTGAGCCTTAGAGTCAGACATACCTAGTCACGCGTCTGTTCTATTATCCCACTAGTGAACTAATCCCCAAGAGGAAACAGTCCAGCTGCACCCCACCCCACCCTCCTCCTTCTCTACTCCCTCTGCACACATACATGCTTTCACAGAACTTAGTGAGCGTTGGAGGCTTGTCTTGATTCCTCCGATGACGAAACCAGCACTGGATTTTTCGGACGTCCCAGTCCAGCTGCTTTGCCAGGCCCTCCAACCTTTTCTCGTCAGGATACTGCAGATGATGACCAGAGTTAGCACACCCCTTCTGCACAAACTCCCACCTCACTAGCGGAGCGGCACACAGGTGACAGCCACAGAGGATCAAGTGGTATTGCCTTTCCCAGATTTTATACCCAAGTCCTTTTTAACTCACAAATGAAAACATCACACAGCTAGTTTAAGAAAGTCAAGATCTGTCCAGTGTCAAACTACACATCTTGATGACTTCTATAGAGTTACAATAGCAATTCTAAAGCAACTGAACTTTACTTAGCATTCTGCACTTTCACTATCAATTACATTTTCATTTACCCATCACACACACACACGCACACACACAAATTAAAAAGACAAAAACAAAAAACTGAGGCTGGAGAGATGCTCAGTGGTTAAGAGCACTTGTTGCTCTTGCAGGGGACCCAAGTTCAATTCCCAGCACCCACATGGCAGCTCACAACCATCTGTAACTCAGGTTCCAGGAGATCCAATGCCCTCTTCTGGCCTCCACCTGCACCAGGCACACATGTAGCACATTATTTACACACAAGCAAAACATTCAAGTTAAAAAAACACAACGACTCCCCCCAAAAACCAAAACCAAAAATAAAAATTGCAAAGGCCACTAGAACCATCCTCATCTTGATTAGAAGCTGGTGCAAGAAGAGGGAAAATAAGACAGGATGTGTGTTTAGGGTAGAGAAGGTCAGGTAGAGGCAGATGCTGAGGAGTGAAACTTCAACGTGTGTGGAGTACAGGCTGAAAGGTGTTTCTCCACAGAGGTAGAGCAGACCACCCAAACATGAAGAACCATCTCTTCCTACCTGGCCGTTCTTACATGCTCTGTTCCCACCTACAGAGCAATCTCCATGTGACTTCCTTCTCTCGTTCTCCGCTTACTCACCTTAGTAATAGACATGAACACCTTTTCAAGGGTGTCATTGGACTCCACCCGATAGAGAACACTGTCTTCGATGCCAGCATGGAGTGCGCAGGGCTTGGCAATAAATCTGTAACAGAAAATCCAAGATCTGATTCCAAATATGGTTTGCTAGGTCATGATCAGGGAGGGATTAATGTGAGAAAAAGTGGAAACACAGGATTAAGACCTAGAAATTTGTCATTTGGATTCTGTTTCACAGATTTCCACAGTGACTGCACTTGCTTATACTCCCATAAGCCTTTGTCTGTAGTCTCCCTAGCATTTGCTATTTATTTATTTATTCATTTTTCCAGACAGGGTTTCTCTGTGAAGTCCTGGCTCTCCTGGAACTCGCTCTGTAGACCAGGCTGACCTCGAACTCAGAGATCCACCTGGCTTTGCCTCCCAAGTGCTGGGATTAAAGGCGTGCGGCGGCGGCGGCACCACTGCCTGGCTGTTATTTGGTTTCATATTCTGCCACTGACACACTTGAAGAGATCTGTTTTTAAATGGTGGACTGGACCAGGCATGGTGGTGCACACCTTTAATCTCAGCACAGGCAGAAGCAGACTGAGTTCCAGGCCAGCCACAGCTACAAAGAGACACACTGTCTCAAAAAGTAACAACAAAAAAGCAAAACAACAACAACAGAAAAACAGCTGGGCGGTGACGGCTACATCTTTAATCCCAGCTCTGGTCCAGGCAGAGTCATGTCGATCTCTGTGAGTTCTAGGACAGCTTAAGGATACTCGGAGAAATGCTGTCTTGAAAAACCGCAAAAAAAAAAAAAAAAAAAAAAAAAACAACACACACACACCCAAAGAAGTTAGATTGCCAGGTGTGATGGTACACTAGGTGGCTTGCACCTTTAATCCCAGCACTGGGAAGGCAGTCAGATCTCTGTAAATTCCAGGCCAGCATGGTTACAAAGTAAGATCCTGTCCCCTAGATACAAATAACAACAACAACAACAACAACAACGACAATGTATGTAAAATACTCTGTAACAAGTGAAGTGTTAATAAGGTAATTTTCCTGACATCAGAAGCCGACTAAGCCAGGTGTGGTGGCACAGCCATGTGGTCCCATACTTGGGAGGCTGAGGCAGGAAGGTTGAACACTGGAGACCAGCTCACAGTACAAAGAGAAGCCTCCATCTCAATTTAGTTCTTGAGGAGGCAGGGTGGTTTTCTTGATCTTTTTCTTTTTTCTTTAATTTAAAATTTTATGTGTGTGAGTGTTTTGCTCACATGCATGTTGGTGTACCAGGTACATTCAGTGCCTGACAAGGCCAGAAGAGGACCTCAGAGCCCCTGGACCGGGAATTACACATGGTTCTAAGTTGCCACGTGGATGCTGGGAATCAAATCTGGGTCTTCTGGAAGGGCAGCTAGTGCCCTTAACCACTGGGCCAGCTTTCCAGCTCCCAGGTCATTTTGTTTTGTAGCTCGGGACTGAATCGTCCTCAAATGTTTTTCAAGCAGCATCCTGGGTAAGATGTTCTCTTTCTTTTCAGATTTATTTAAGTGTTTGAGTGTTTTGCCTGCATGTATGTATGTGCACCATGACTGTGCCTGGTGCCTTCAGAAGTTAGAAGACAAAATCTGGTCTGATCCCCTCAAACTGGAGTTATGGATGGTTGTGAGCCGCCATGTGGGTGCTGGGAACCAACCCTGGCTTCCTCTTGAGTGCTGAGCTAGCTCTCCAACACCCTGGCCCTTATCTTAGTTGTCCAAGAAGACAGAAGGAGACTGCACTGTTTCTCCTCCTCCTCGTCTCTTTTGTGCATGTATGATGCATGTGCATATGTGTGCACACACACCATGGCACACTCGCGGAGGTCAGAGACAACCTCAGGTGTTTGCTCACCATCTGCCTTGTTTGAGGCAGAGTCCCTTTGCTGTTTGCTGCTGTGCATGCACACGGCGGGCCTGTGAGCTCCTCCACCCCACTGCGGGACACTGGGACCGAAGAAGTGTTTGACTGTCCACCGTTATGTGGGCTCTGGGGAGTCAACGCAGGCCCTCAAGGCAAGCCTTTACCCACCACCCTTCTCCTTGGCTCAGAACCAAGTCCCCAGTTCAGCATTTATTATCACTGAGGGTTGAGAATAAGAAACTTTATTATTGGGGCTGGAGAGATAGTTTAGCCTTCTCTTCCAGAGGACTCAAGTTCCATTCCCAGCAACCACATGGCAGTTCATAACTGTCGGTAACTCCAGCTCCAGGGAATTTGACACCCTCACACAGACATACATACAGGTAAAATATCAATGTACATAAAATAAAATAAATCATTATAAAAAGGAAATTTTATTATTTTCGTCTGTAAAGAAGCCCCAGGCAAACACTTTATTTTATGAAAGCTCCAGGAAACCACTTATTCAGTGCACAGACTTAGCCACAGCTATGATCTGCTTTCTCAACCTAGGTGGTAGGTACATGCCCATTTCCATAGTTAGTGCTAACTACTATTTGCTAATACTTTTGGTTGTGAGCCTAGCCTTCAACGGCTGAGCCACCTCTCCAGCCCCTATTTGCTAATATTTTAACGCCCAACTTACGTCCAAAGTCCTTGTTAACACAGATAATAGTCAATATTTCTATTTACGAAGGTTCTGTGAGCCAGTAAACAGTACCCCTCTGCTGTGGGATAATCCTTTTGTACAACATGAATATGTATTACTCTCATTTGCTAATAAAAAGCTGATTGGCCGATAGCTGGGCAGGAAGAGATTGAGCACAAGAGCCAGAGCAGGAGAATTCTGGGAAGAGGAAGGGCGGAGTCAGAGAGCTGCCGGCAGCCGCAGAGAGGCAAGATGAGAATGCAGTACTGAGAAAAGGTACCGAGCCACACGGCTGAGCATAGTAACAAGCCTGAGATACTGACCAAGCATTTACAATTAATGTAAGCTTCTGTGTGGTAATTTGGGAAGTGGCTGCCAGGTATTTGGGAACAGGTGGTCAGGACAGGAAACATTCCTTTACCCTTCCATGGCCTCTGCCTTAGCTCCTGCTTCTGGGCTCCTGCTGACTTCCCTCAGCGATGGACCGTGAAGTGGAAGTGGAGCCTGAAGTAAACCTTTTCCTCCCCAAGTTGCTATGGATCTAATGTTTTATCACAGCAATAGGAACTCTAACAGTGACATTCAAGACCATGGTGACTGGTCTAGATCTGTCTTGCTCTGCTGGATCTCCGCTTAAATCTGGGGTTACGTAGCATTCAAAAGGATAATCAAGGCAGTCATTTTGTTGTTGTTGAATCCATGCCATATCAGAGACTAAATGTAGCATGAATCTTAAAAGGTCTTATTAATAAAAACAAACCCAGAGCCAGGTACTGGGGTGAACGCTGAAAGATCAGAGAGACAGAACAGGCCACAGCTAACCTCACTTTGCTAATTCCTCGGCCAATCCTATTTCCTCAGACTGGAAGCCTCTGAGTCCTCATCTGAATGAATCTCAGCTGAACTGCTACTAAAAGCTTAAAAGCTTAATCAGGCGCTAGTTCCTGGTCCTCACTTATATACCTTTCTGCTTCCTGCCATCACTTCCTGGGATTAAAGGTGTGTGCCACCATGCCTGGCTGTTTCCAGTGTGGCTTTGAACTCACAGAGATCCAGACAGATCTCTGTCTTTGAAATGCTAGGATTAAAGGTGTGTGTGCTACCATTTTCTGGCCTCTATATCTAGTGGCTGTTCTGTTCTCTGACCCCAGATAAGTTTATTAGGGTGCACAATATATTGGGGGACACAATATCACCACATTTCCCCCTTTTGTCTAAAATTTAGAAAAAATATATCCAATAAGTATATACAATATATACAGTCAAGAATTACATTAACAATGTCTAGTCCATTAACATTTGATGGATTCAGACAAAAACTCCATTATATATATTAAAAATGTCCAGTCCATTAACATTTGACAAATTCAGACAAAAAATTTCATTACTTATCCTATTTAAAACAAGTAGTTCCTTTTTAAAAGTAGATTTAACAATCTCCCTTTTTTTTAATCTTATATCCATATTCTCTTTTTTTTGAGTAAATCCAAAAGTCTACCTTTTATCTTATCATTTCTATATCTTCCCTTTTTTCAGAGTAGATTCAATGATCTACCCTTTTCTATATCTTCTTTTTTCTTTTTCTTTTTTTTAAACAAGAACCCTGTATTTAATCTCCTTTGTTTAGCTTTTTTTTCTTTTTTTTGACCATTAACAATTAACAACTTGTAACCAACCATCATAAACAATAACAATTATCCATAAGCCATTGAATGACCAAAAACCACCCACCCCACCTCTTGGGAATGTGGGCATTGTTTTTCTTAAAATTACTTCCTGCTTTCTGGGGGGTAAAGATATCTTTAGGGAATCCTGAAAAGAAAATTTTTGGGTTAATTGTCAAGTCCTGGAGAGTTAGCTGCATCATTTGTTGTCCAGTCTCTGCTTAATGCGAAAATGTTGGGCTTGTTTCAAGTCCTTGCTCGAGTTGTCTGTGAATCTGAATCATCTCAGAAGCCATCTCGAAATTGTCCTGAACAGTTTGTAGTCCAAAGCCGATCTTTCCATGGTGTTAACTAGCTTAATGGCTTTACCATAGTCCATTTGGAATCATTGTTGTGGGGTCCCGGAATCCTTTTGGAGATTTCAAAGTTGCTGTTAGGC